ATATGTCGCAGGGAAGGTGTTGCAGAACTTTATGGAGTGTGTGGTGAGGGAAGAGAATAGGAAGAGGAAGAGAAGGGGAAGGAGGATGGGAAAGAGAAGAGAAAGAAGAGAAGAGCCTCTGCTATCTTGCCTTCTTCCCATAGTGCATACTGGTGACATCTATTTCCCAACTATGTGACACACATACACCTGGCCATCCACGTGATGTAAAAGAAAATGTGAAAAGGGTTGTAGGTATGAGAGCCTGGATATTGCCTGGAAGTTGCCCAGCATTTAAACAGATAGTGAGGTTTGGTAATAAGTAGGTAAAATGTAAGATATTCACATTTGCCATTTTAAGGAATCATTTGTGAGTATCATTTAAGATGTTTGTAAATTTAATGTCATTGATCCAAGGTGGACTTCCAGGTTATGGCGATAGTCACTTTGGTGGAAGTGACAATGTGTGACAAGGGTGTTTTCCTCTTGGAATGCCAAGCTAGAGCTATTGAGTAGCAATTTCCATGGATTTTCATGCAGGTTTGTATTGGGAAGTGAGTGATAAGATTTAAAACCCATCCACCATCTACCTACACAAGGTCAAGTCCACCAAATGTTTGCCATCATACTGGGTTCAGATCAACCACTTAAAATTGTATTCATTGCAGGCTTGTTGCTGAGTCCAACTACTTACTCCAGGGACTATAAGTCTCAAGATACCCTATACACTCTCAACACAGCTTGTCTAAACCAATGATCCTTGCAATTATGCATTGTACACATTTACTTTCACCTCCTGTTCTGCTGACAATAGGTGTTGTCTCAGAGAACAGGTGTAGGAACTCCCCCCTTTTCGAGTCACCCCTTGTCTCCACCTCTACCAACCTCTGAGCACCATTCCTCGGTTCCGCCACTTCCCCACCTCCCAGTACCGACCTTTGAAAGAATACAGAACCAAGTATCATTTTGTGGTGCTAAAAAAAAATTATATGAATTGAATTTATTAATGATAACAAGAAAAGCAGTAAAATAGATCCCCTGCAGCAAAAATAGACCCCAGCAACAATAGATCCCCACCAGCAATAATGGTCCAACCACAACAAAATACCCCCTTCTCCAACAACAGACCCCCAACAGTAACAACAGATCTCCCCACGGCCGGCATCAATAGACCCTCCAGCAGTGAGCAACAATAGACAGCTCCCTCAACAGTAGATCCCTCCCAGCAACAAATGACACCCCAGGAAAAAAAGGCCCATCCCCAGCAATAATAGATCCTAGAGCAGCAAAAATAGACCTCCCCAGCGAAAATAGACACCCCTGCAGAAATAGATCCCCTTCAGCAACAACAGACCCCATGCAGCACATTCCAGCACTCCTTGCCATTACATACATTCATAACTGCCTTTCCCCAAAAAAGCCCTGGTGACAACACATGTTTTTACATATACTTTATAGGGAAAGTATCACAGGCTCTTTATAAGGGAGGTATTGATGTTAAAGATATAAATATTCTGCAAATCACTGTACTATACTGAACAATGTATGCAGCCACTCATGTGTTACTAGAACTAATACTGTTTGGTGTGATGTCAGCAATTACAGAACAGCATCAGGAAGAAATTGCAGAAGAAAAAATAACTGGCCAGGTTTAAGTGGAATATAACTACTAGTTTCCCAGTATAACAGCTTCTGTACTTTAAATCATATAGAAGAGCTTTTAGCCTCGGTATCCATTTTACAGTGTGGTGCACTGATCTGTCATATAGCCCATGTGTGGTGAATTCCGTAATGTACAATCCAATACTGTAAATGACAGTCATCTTTTATCTGCTCAATAAAAGTTATAGGTGAAGAGCTGAACACTGGAAGAGAACTGCATGAATCAATAAAAACACTACAGAGAAGAGACAATGTTATTTTTCGATTCAAGTCCCCGTACATCATTGCTGTGCAGCTAAATTTCTAGTCTAGATGGTATTTATTATGATTTCTGGGTATGAAAGGGGGAGCCGTGTGATGGTACAAAGCATCTAAAAGAGAAAAAAAAATAAAATGTCATGCTTTGTTAAGTGAACAAATTGTAGATTTAATTTTTTATTTTTAATCTTGATCAGAAAAAAAAAAAAAAAAAGAATATTTTTTTCTCAGTCATTTAAATATAAAATACTGGATACACACTTATTTTTATTTGTCCTTATTAGCCAGCGGGTGGAGTTTTAGGCTCCTTTTCATGTATTTTCAAGTCTGTCCTTGTCCACCTTTCTGAAAAATAAGCCTGTTGTTTCAAGAGCTCAATAGGTCAATCTACTATTTACAAACACAGAACTGAATAAAAGCAATGGCTCCCCCTTCCTCCTCCCTGCCTCCTTGTGCAGAGGGCTCTGCAGGAAGTCTCCAAAAGCTGTGTTGTGTTCTAAGAATCCCCTTTGGCTTAGTTTACACTTGCAGTTAGGGGGGAAGGGCGGTAAAAAGAGGCAACGCAGTTGAGCTTTTTTCACCATGCTCCCTTAATGATTTATTTTTATTTATTTCAGGTACTTATATAGGGCCATCAATTTTACACAGCGCTTTACATATATATTGTACATTCACATCAGTCCCTAACCCTCAAGGGGCATGCAATCTAAGGTCCCTAACTCACATTCATACATACACATACTAGGGCCAATTTAGAGAGGAACCAATTCACCTACCAGCATGTCTTTGGAGTGTGGGAGGAAACCGGACTACCCGGAGGAAACCCATGCAGGCACAGGGAGAACATGCAAACTCCAGGCAGGTGGCGCAGTGGTGGGGATTTGAAACAACGACCCTAGTGCTGCCAGGTGGAAGTGCTAACCATTTAGCCACTGTGCTGTACCTAATTAAGCTCCAGGTTTGTAGTTGTGACAAGGTATTCCTGTTTAAACAGCCTATTTGACTGTTAAAACAATAAGAAAAACAAAACAAAAAAAAAACCACTCAGGAGATAGCAGTATGACCTCCTGAATGCCTCTCAACCGTGCCTCCACCAGTCTGTGAAAAGCAATCCACAGCCAGTTGCTTTTCACAGAATGATGCATGGGTGAATGAGCCCTTAGTGAACTTGTACAACAATATACTAAACTAAAAATACCAGTTTAAAAAAAAAACATACTTCGGTTGCTATGCCATTCATTTTTTGTTTTTGTCTCCTGCCTGGTTCCTATGTATTGAGATCCTGTATATTTTGTTCCTTTTGTTATCTTGTGAAAAGAAATACTGAAAATCCGAATTAAAAAAAAACATACAAAAATAAATAAATGCACTTTACCCCAAACCAGTGCAGGTTCGCTTTACTTTGTCCAGCTGATTATATCCCCACAAAACAGAGCAGTTTATTTTTCAGGTCTTTTGACAGTTCTTTTCTGCTCCCCCCAGGGCTCAGTATCTAGCCTGCTTAGTGCATCCACCTGAGAGCTAACAAACTCATTGACTATTTTATACACAGACACTGATTGCACAGCCACAGATGTGGGAAATGAACCTTTAATTGTCATTCTAACCCGTGTACGTCATCTTGTGTGTCTGTACTGAGGCCAACATTCCAGGGGAGGGAAACTTTTGATTATGGCCATTTGGGTGATTTCTGTCATCATTATGCTTTAAAAAGGAGCCAAACAACTATGTGATGATAAATGGCTTCATAGGATCACTGTCCTTAAATAAAAGACAGTTTTTTTTGGCATGATCAGTCATGTTTTCAATATAAATTCCCAAATTTCATGATTTCTGCCAGGGTATACAAACTATTGAGCACAACTGTATGTGAAAACAGAGTCACGAAAGATGCAGACTGCTGCAGACAGATGGAATATAACAAAACCCATTGTTCAGGCAAAGATTTATGGCTCTGATCTCACTTGATACTAAAGGCTCATTTTTTTCTGTTTTTAAATAACAGACATATTATACTCACCTGCTCTGTGTAATGGTTTTGCACAGAGCAGCCCCGATCCCCTTCTTCTTGGGTCCCTCCACTGGTGCTCCTGGCTCCTCCCCCCTTTAAGTACCCCCCTAGAAAGCCGGTTGCTAGGGAGGGTACTGGTGTGAGCTCGCTCCTGAGCCCTTCTGACTGCGTCCATAGACACAGACATCTGGGCTTTACTTTGCCCCCCCCTTTCCATCTCCACTGACTGTGATTGACAGCAGTGGGAGCCAATGGCTCCTGCTGCTGTCTCTGAGCCAATGAGGAGGCAGAGAGCTGGGACAGCAGCAGCTCTCATTCACATAGCTGGATTGGGCGCAGGTAACTGTAAGGGCTCTTTCACAGGGGCAGTTGTCCTGCCGCTTGTAAATTCATGTTTTTTTATTTTGAAATTCTAACAGTCCTGGCACTTGCATTTCTACATTGCGTTTATCTGTGATTATGTGCGTTTACATGCGGCTGTGTTTAGCTGCGGTAGTAAATTCTTGTCTTTTCTATAGCAGCTGTTTACTTACTTTTTCTTTGTACTGTGATTAAGTGTGTTTTATGTACAGATAGCTGCGGTCCATCGCTCCTGGACTCTGTCAACTTATTTTTCCTAAATGCATAAAACTGTATGTTATGATAGCGTTGCTAAATGCAGTATGTGAATGGAGCCATAGTGAATGGAGCCATTGTCTGCATTTAGCTGCAGTAAATAAGTTCCTCTAACCGCAGCTAAAAGCTGAAATCTACCCGCCCGTGTGAAAGGGGCCTTACGGGGGCATGAAGATAAACAACCTTCAGGCTTTAGAACCACTTTAAGGGATTGTTCACAAGTACACCAGAAACTGCTGCTCCTCTAAAAAATGATCCACACTCTGATTGCTTTTCAGAGCTTAAACTCTGCAGAGGCCCCTAGGTAGTCAAAACCTTTGTGCCCCCCTTGCAGTTTTCTGGAGGTTTCTCGTGTGAATGGGATAAGATTGAACTAAGTAGTGCACGGGTGGACTGACAACTCATGGGGCCCCCGGGCAATAGGGGATCATGGGCCCCTGTGTCCTTGCCCAAACTCAAAAAAGCCTATGAAAAGGTACCAGGGGCATCTCATGGGGCCCCCTACTGACCCCGGGCCCTCGGGCAGTGCCCATGTTTCCATATGGTCAGTCCGCCCCTGAAGTAGTGTGTACATTGCTTGCTAGATGGAGATGGCCATTACTGCTGTATATTACATGTATGTAGTTTGCACCAACATTTTGTTTACAAACTGACAGCTGAAAGAAGATGAACTTTTAGGAAACAAACTGTAATGTGAACCTGATGTCTATGGTTTATGTACTTTAAAGGGTTACTAAACCCGGGACCCTGCATTCCCCATATCTGGTCTCCCACAATACACACAACATGGAAATGCAATTATTTTAGTAAATATAAACTGCTAAATACCTTTTTCTCATCAGCAGTGTACAGCGGTCTTGTGACTTCTAACAGTGTCTAGCAGAGCACTGGTTAAATGCTTGTAGGAGGAATTTCCATTCTCCCCTGGTTGTCTTATGAGACTGCAGGACCCCTGACCCTCTGTCTGGACAGTGCTGATTGGCCCTTTGCTGATCACATGCACTCTCCTAAGAAAGAAAAAAACTCTCTAGTAATACACACCAAACTGAGCATGTGCATCTTGCTCCCAAGACTCTGTTCTATCACAAATGGATTGGGGACTGTAGAAGAAGGGGAAGATCAGAGAAGTCAGGATCAAACAAGCTCTTTACACAATGCGGAGGATTAACCCCTTAGGTTCCACAGTGAGTATAACAAGCATGCTTTACTGCATATACAGACTGATTTTACTGTTGTGGGTTTAGCAACACGTTAAGTTAAGTTTGGGTACATTAATCCAGTATTTTCTCTATAGAGTTGTTAATGTAAAGTTTTGGTTTCCTTGAGTTGATTCATTGTTGCTATCCTTTGTAAAGAATTTAAGAAAGCTTCATTGTAATTTTGTTTCAAGATCAATCAATATTATTATGACCTGTTGTGGCAGGACCGTTATGTGGCATGGGCCCGTAGGCTGGTCATACTCTGCCTATCTGGTAATCCAGCACTGCTGAAAAAACATAAACCAATGTCACATCTATGAGTGCCTACCCTTAGTTACACATCTTGTGTCCTCCCACTCCTCCCTCCATACAGTACACTGTTATTATAGAGGCTGGCCAAGCGTTCAGCCACTGGCAGGTACATTCTCCGTCTTCAAAGACTTTCTAGAATATGCACTTTAAGTCATTATGTTTCCGTGATATAAATAGCTCCGTCGTATTTTTATTTTTTTTATTTTCCTAATATACCAGCGTCCTACCCAGATGCTGAAAAACGATCACACTTCTTCCCACAGCTAATTTTACTGTGTTTTCCCTTCAATAGACATAAAAAATTGTTAATATCAGCTAGCTGCCGAGTATGGGAAGAGTAATGGGTGTGCAGTGCGCCTGTTCATTTACTGCACTGTGGATGAATAAGCAGCCATTCATCTCCTCACCTGCATGAGTTGCAGGAAACTTCTCATGTACCGAGAGCAGCCAGTGTAAATATATGTCATTAATATGGAACAGGCGCCGCAAGCAGCATCCCAACCATCAATTCTCATCAACAATTCTGTAGTGGGGAAACAGGATAAAGCTGCAATGGCGGTTCAGTAAAGTGAACAGCAAAACCGCACTCACGCACTATCGGGGAGCGGCATTCAAAATACACATTTTTTTTATTTATTATATACTATATACAGGGGTGTATTTACCACAAGGCAAACAAGGCACTTGCCTAGGGTGGCATTTTTCAGGGGGGAGGAAGTAGCTCCCCCAAGAAGAAGGGATGGAAGAAGGGACACGCACACCATGGGAACCAGGTGGGATTCGAGAGAGTCTGGGGGTTGCTTGGTGGTGTACGTAGAGCCTGACTCCCATTCCCGGGGATGTCCAGAGCTGGGAAGATGGGTGTCTTTCTTTCTATCACTGGAGGGGGGGGGGGATAATGGAAGGCTCTCACAGGTGAGGGACAGGGGCAGGGGTGGACTGACAACTCATGGGGCCCCGGGCAATAGGGGATCATGGGGCCCCTGTGTCCTTACCCACACTCAAACTACACCCAAAAAAGCCTATGAAAGGTACCATGGGCATCTCATGGGGCCCCGGGCAGTGACCCCGATTTCCCAAATGGTCAGTCCGTCCCTGGACAGGGGTGTTGTTGGTCAATGTCAGGTTCTCTCTCTGCAGAGGGGGAAGGGGAAGGGGTGTTGGTCGGTGTCCATGGGGGGGCGATTTTTGTGTTGTCTAGGGCAGCACAAAACCAAAATACACCACTGACTATATAGCAGGGGTCTCCAAACTGTGGCCCTCCAGGTGTTGAAGAACTACAAGTCCCATGAGGCCTTGCAAGACTCTGACAGGCACAGATAAGACTCCCAGAGGCATGATGAGACTTCTAGAACTTCAACAGCTGCAGGGCCATAGTTTGGAGACCCCTGCTATATAGGATAGGCATGCAATACAAAGGGGTGCTCCAGAAATTCTGAAATGTTGGCGGCTATGCTTGAGATCACACAGAACATGAGAAACAAACAAATAACCTAATGTGGCACTAAAGTGTTACTAAACCCACAACAGTAAAATCAGTCTGTATATGCAGTAAAGCATGCTTGTTATACTCGCTGTGGAACCTAAGGGGTTAATCCTTCACACTGAGTAAAAAGGATGTTTGATCCTGTCTTCTCTGATCCTCCCCTTCTTCTACTGTCCCTAATCCATCTGCTGATAGAACAGATGTTTGGAGTCACTCTGCACATGCTCAGTTTGGTGTGTATTGCTAGAGAGGTGTTTTTTTTCTTGGGAGAGTGTATGTGATCAGCACAAGATCAATCAGCACTGTCCAGAGAGAGGTCAGGGATTGTGCATCCTTCTGAAGAAGAATGAAAACTCCTCCTACAAGCTTTAACCAGCGTTTTGCTGGACACTGATAAAACTCACAAGACTGCTCTAACTGCTGATGAGAAAAGGTATTTAGCAGTTAATATTTACTAAAATGATTGAATTTCCATATAGTGAATGCTGGGTCCTGGGTTTAGTAACAGTTTAAGCCCTCAGCATTTTGTAGCCTAACACACTGAGCACAATAAATATAAACATTACCTAGTAAACTGTTGTTAAAATTCTTCACTGTTTGTTAAAATTCTTACCCAAGCACTTGTGGTTTACAGCTTTCAATGCTGTGAGCTCCTGCTTTCTCAGTGCTGCTTCCCTGAACTTCCAGTCTTCACAGGAAAGTGCTAGCAATGGACAGTGCAGTCTCCAGTCTGTTAGTTTGGAGAAGGAAAGAAGGATGGAGGAGCAAGGGACTTCCTTACCATCTTAGGTTTGGATCACACCTATGCAGCTTTTGATGCATTTTACATTTTTTCTGCTTTTTTTTTGGACAATTAGTTGTTGGACAGATTAAAAAATGCAACTCGTCAAAAACACATCAAACATGCATCAAAAATGCACTACATGCTTTTCTGCAGTGTCTCCATTGGAGTCTACTGAATCAAAAGCACCATTTTGGGCAGCACAGTGGCTAAATGGTTACCACTCCCGCCTGGCAGCACTAGGGTCGTTGGTTCAAATCACAGCCTGCCTGGAGTTTGCATGTTCTCGCTGTGCCTGCGTGGGTTTCCTCCAGGTACTCCGATTTCCTCCCACTCTCCAAAGACATGCTGGTAGGTGAATTGGATCCTGTCTAAATTGGCCCTAGTATATGTATGTATGAATGTGAGTTAGGGACCTTAGATTCTACACCCCTTGAGGGTTAGGGACTGATGTGAATGTACAATATATATGCAAAGTGCTGCGTAAATGGACGGCACTATATAAGTACCTGAAATAAATAAATACATTTTGCATTTAAAAAAGTCCCTGACCCTTTCCAGAAACGCAGAAGCTGAAAAAAGCATTGATGTGAACATGTCCTATAGGAAACCATGTTAAATGGACTGGCCTTTGCATACAGGGCTGTGTGTTTATATTGTTGTACAGTACACAGTGCAGGGAAGCACAGTTCTAGTCCCTGCATATATGAGGGATGCTTCATGGGAAAGGCACCAACCTGAAACAGGAAACCTTACAGCTTAAACTGGAACACAGCAAGGACCTCCTGCACACTTGTCATGTGCCCAGCTCTCCTACGTTCCTTTTTCTCCTGGCAGGAGAAAAACAGTTAAAAAGGCGCCTAAAGCCACATTTTGCAAATGAGTTTAGGCAATAAATATTAATTTATTCAGGCCATCGAAATAAATAGTTGCTTAATATAATGCTTAAGTGTGTTTACACATGTTTATGTGTGTTCTCCGTTTTTTTTTTTCGCCAGAATGGCTCCTGTCCTGAACGCACAAGTGATGGATTTTTTTTCTGCCTCTAAATGCTCTTGTCTCTAAACACCTATGTGTGCAAGGACATATAGGCTAACATAGAGGGGTGTTTAGAGGCAGAAAAAAAAAAGAAAAATGTCCTTAAAGTGGAGCTCCACCCAAAAGGGGAGGTTCCGCTTTAAGGACTGTTCCCCCGCACCCACCCCATTAAGGATTGGCACCTTTGGGGGGCGGGAGCTGGGAGCGGGTACCGGCTCCCACTTCCCGTCTGATCACATAGGCGATCGGAAGCGGAAGGTGTCCCTTTCCCTCCCTGTAGTCTTTTGGGACACATGACAGGTCCCAGAAGACTACAGGACCATTCATGAAGCGCAGCGCTACTCGCGCATGTGCAATGGGCTGTGAAGCCGCAAGCAGTCACAGCCGGGTGCCCACACTGAAGATGCAGGCCTCCTGGAATACAGGACGGCCAGTGAAAACGGGCTGCAGGGAACACACCGCGGGACCGTGGGACAGGTAAGTGGCTGTTTTTTAAAAGTCAGCAGCTACAGTTTTTGTAGCTGCTGACTTTTATTTTTTGACAGGGTGAGTGGAACTCCTGCTTTAACATTTGCTTTTTTGACACCAAAAAAACAAAAATATGAAAATATGCATTCGATAAACAGCTGAACAAATATCAATCTACTTAAAAACTACAACTGCCACCATTTATACACCAGGGCTTCTGATTTCAAAAAATATGCAATTGTTTTGGAAGTTCTAATTTTGTAGCAAAAACTGCTGATTTTATTGTGTGTGAAATATTAAAAATTGCCCCAGCAGTGTAGTAGTTAACGAAAAGAGAAGAGTTTTCTAGCTAACGAAGGCTCTTACTTTTAATCATTTGAAGAAATGCTGCGAGGGAGGACAGAAGGAAGATA